GCCCCAACATTTTGGTATTTAAGAGGACGAACGGTGCCATTTGGTACGGTGTAGAATTGTGGTTTAGGTAATCACATGGGACCATTGGTGTGATTTTTTCAGAAGTCGAAGGGGTGGGGTGGGGGGAGCAGGACCCCCTGACACCCTCCTAAATCCGCCACTGGATGGGGTACACTTGTCTTCAAATCAGAAGCTCGGAACAGTGACAACTTTTATTTTATAATTAAGCCAGTGTTCTTGTGGTAATGTTCAGTGTGCTTAAAGCATTTTAAACTAAGTCACAAACGCTCTTTTATTGTTCATGATCGCAGATTTTTGTTCAGAACTGAAAGAGTGCAAAGTTAACAATGTCAAGCACACACATTTTTATTCAAGGTCAGCTGTGAACTGTTCTTTCTGTAAATTTGCAGTTCCAAAGCATTGTGACTCTTAATTGGCACCATTGAATTCTAATGTTCTGCGTGACAAACGAGTAACGATGGACATAATATTACAAGGAATCATGCTATAAATACTTGCTGTAAATTTTCTTTCATTCTTTTGCACTGCGAGTATTTAATGACGGAGGTTATTGCAGAAGTAGTGATACTTAAAAAAGACAAGTACTATTTCACGCCATATGAAAGCTCGACCTCGCAACTGCATATACCCATATACCCAGTACTTGCTTGTTCACACAAATGCATGTATCCAACTGCGAAGTGAGTAAGCCTATTGTGGAACACAGTCCGCACTGCGATGAATATTGAGATGACCAACTTACTGTACGCGCTAAACATGATACTGTGAAATGCGTACTGATACACCACACCTTGAAAACGGGTAGAGTGATCCGATCTACCGTTGAATTTCAGATCTTTCGATGTCGAGTTTGGTAGTTAAGTAGGCCTGCATTTTGTAAACACAACAGTGGAGGTGGTCCCCCCCCCCCCCTTTTCCGTACTAATGCGTTTACTCCGGCTGGTGGTACAATACCAAGAGGCGATATAGCCTCTCTGGTCCTCTAGGTTCTTCAGTTTCTTTTGATCGTGATAAAGCTATTAATACACCATAGACGTCAAATGTAATACATCAGCAAAACCTCACCCAAGACATTGTATAAAGATAATTTAGAGGTTGATGCTAAAATAACACAGCTTCTTAGAAAATAACTATCTGAGAGGAAAACTTCGAGTGCGTGCTTTTATGGACGAGAGTCACCCTTGCCGTCAGAATTGACACCCAAAGGACATATTTTTAATTTATAGCAAAGAGGTATCGATAATACATACTAGTATGCACTGAAATCAAGGGTTGCCAAGGCACTCTACAAATCACACATAATTCTGAACAAAAGATGGGCCAGTGTCATTCCAGAATGGCCTTTATATTCGCTTGGGTCATTGTTTATAGGGCATAGATAATGTGCACCGTCACAATTGGTCCATTTCATTGGGTTAAGAATATTGAAACCGTCTACTATTTCTACGCCAAATTTTACCAGCTTCTCTGCGATGATTTCATTGACCGCCGCAACCATGTAATCATTCCCGTCCATCTGGCCCCAAACCCTCGGCAGAATATTTAGGTAAATCAGGCGGATGTTTGCAGTATTGGGGTTTTTCCTTACGTCGCGCAAGAAGTCCACAAAATGGGGAAGGGAATGTTTGACAAGATTGTGGGCACTCTGGTTTGCAAGCACTAATTCGTGAATCCCAAACCCCATTAACACTACATCATCTCTGGTGGCGGGCTTTTCGTCAAATCGCGAAGAAAGTGAACTGATTGCGTTTTCGCAATGGGAAGCGTGGCCAGTCCATTTGTATATAATATTGCTAAGACCTACAATATTCTTTCGGTTTTTTATGGGGTTCGTTGAATTTACACCAGGGGTAACATGTCCTGTATGGGGTACAATATGACTATAGTTCGACACCAGCTGATCCAAGTAATTACTAATAAATCTAAGGTGTGAGTCTCCAAAGATTCTGAAAGTGGTTTTCCTATTGTAACATTTCCAAATGTCTGCCTCACTCATGAACTCGAAAATACACCTGCTTTCTGTTCCCCATTTCCACTGTCCTTGAATTTTCCACCAGCGTCCAATGAGGTAGTCCTCAATGTTTGTTTCGGAACAGTCTCTAGATCTGTCTGTCTTCTCTTTCTCCGATCCCCGTTTCTCGGGGTGATCATAATTAAACGAGTGGATAATTCTGTGAATTCTATTGGGATGATTACATTCTTCGTTATCGTGGTGTCTGAACGCTTCAAAGTCCGTGTAGTCTAAGTATATTGTACCCTGTATACTGGAGTGGATATCACAATATGCGACGTAGGTTCCATTAAAGAAATCTCTCACCGGACACACCATGGATTCACTTCCTGTCACCTCAATTCGGAAATTACTTCCCCCGGATGACAACACGGCCTTTTTTGCCGATACCTGTATTCTTTCTTCTATGTAAATATACAGTATATGGTTGTTCGACATTGTCACGTTGAAACTGTACTTGTATGTCGCATTGTTGTCGGTATGGCAATGTTCCCCTTTAACATCAGTCTGAGGGTTGAAATTCAACCAGGCCCGCGCTAGCTGTTCCTTTTCAGCAATGCCATCTCTAACCCAGTTATGTTCACCCGCAAGATTTTTCTCTCGATGTCCTGGGGCCGCTTTATGTTTTAATTGCCCACCAATCTTTGCTGTTTTCTCAACAGATGGAGTTTTTTTCAATAAACGATGGACGCCGATGTCTCTACCGTAAGAGTTCAGAACGATAAAGAAAGTATATACAACAATGCATACGATTGCAAGTACCATTAATAAAACTGCCCCGTGAGTTAAACTCCCCTTTCTCATTTTTGAAAAGTGTGATACCAATGAAAGTTCTTCCTTGATTATCCCTCTCTTTTGAGTTTTCCTGACTTCTTGTTTTTCTTCTGCGATGGCATTTATTTCAAAATGCTTTCCCCGTTTGGTATCGTCTGGAGGTTAACTTATTCAATGTCACGTTTTTGGCGATTAATTAGTTTTGGAAAAAATTGAGAATTGCACACCCGATAAGCTCATGCAACTCATAAGTGTATAAAGAGGGATATATAATAAAACTGACTATATATTACCCGCACGCCATACATTGTATTACCTTTATGATAGTGTCATCAATCAAATTTGTGTAACAAAGGCACTCTTTCTTAGTACTCGCAAGGTTGCCAGGGTTCATATCTGGGTTTATGTAAGACTGTTGCCTGAACAGTTAGGACAATAGCTTAGCTTCAACAGTCAGTTTAATTTTGGATCCACAAGAGAACAGACTTGTAATGATGGTAGTTGATATTTATGAGGTGAGTGAAGAGCTGCTGTTGTGTCTTTTCGGCAGTATTTAAATAGTGGCATTTAAACACTCAGAGAGAGAGAAGTTTGGGTCCACTGAAGCATTTGGGATTATGGAGGGGAAACAGTCAGCGGAGTCGAGAAGTCACTTGAAAGACGTTTTTTTTGGTGTTATTTTGTTTTCAGTAACCGAATTTGGGGGGGGGGGGGGGTCCCAAAATCAGCCACTGGGTTGAAGGGTTTGAACGAACCGCTTTTTTGCCTGGAAAAAGATCGGCTCTGGGTATGAATTGATCTAGGTACTCGTGGTAAAACGTCCACTTTTTCAGAGAACTGTACATTTTAGGGTGTTTTTGTCTTAAATAAATGGAAGCGATTGCAGTAGCTAATGTGTTGATCTCTCATTTTTTTTCTGTAATCAGCCCTGCGGAAGCATTTACGTCCTTTCACATGTAACTTATAAATTCAACAGACTTTTAACATGAATGCCACAGGTGTGCTCTCCACCACAGCGAGTTGTGTTTGGTTGTGCTGATTGTAAAACGTTCCAAACTGTTTCCCAAAAGTCATCAGTTGATTGTTGTATACGTCTGTAACGTTACGCTGTGTGCGTCTTCTGACGTGTAATTACGTCACATGTTTGTATGACGACGGTTGCCGTTTCATACTCGAGACTCCACGAGGTAAGCCGCACTTTTGGTTTCTCTGAATACAAATTTCTAGCAAAATGAGTGTTCAGCGCGCGCCTCGCTGAATTTACATCAGTATAGGGAACAGGATGATGTAGGGAACGTTTTGGTAGGAAATATTTGCAGAGTTTGTCTATTTTTGTGGTTTTATTGCATCTTCCGCCCAAAGCCTGAAATCGTAAGACGGCGGAGGCCATTTTCTCGCATAGCAACAACCAATGATTTACACCAAATTCTAAAGTTAGGCAGTCCAAGCCATTTCTTATTAATATCTTGGTAGATATAGTTAGAATTTGTTATTGTTTTACTGAATTATTGGAAAATCGCAGTTTAGACATGATTTGACTAGAACGTTTAGGTGATAGAATGTCATGAAAAGCAGTGAAACGCTCTCACTTCCCAACAGTTGGAAACTTTTTTTTTGCGTTGTGCTTGGGACAAATCGGTTATTTTCTATAAAACTCTTAATTTAAATTGCTTCTCAACAGGTTACTTTAGCAAAAAATAATGAAATTATTATTTTTTCTGTTATTGTGACGTAATTTCCGCCCAAAGCTTTCGCTGGGTAAGATGGCGGAACGGAGGTTTTGACATCGCAACCTTTAGAAAACTTTGGGATAAATGACAAAATTTTAAGTTAAGACAAACTATTTGCTCATATTTCAACAGTATTTGGAATCCACGATACAGTTTTTCAATGATTGTGATAGGTGTGCTATCGAGCGCAGTCAACTGTGTTTGGTTGTGCTGTTTGTAAACAAAAAACGTAGATCTACCAAACGGTTCCAAATATTTATCAGCTGATTGTTGCACAATTGTTTACGTCTGTAACGTTACGCTGTGTGCGTCTTCTGACGTGTAATTACGTCACATGTTTGTATGACAACGGTTGCCGTTTCATACTCGAGACTCCACGAGGTAAGCCGCACTTTTGGTTTCTCTGAATACAAATTTCTAGCAAAATGCGTGTTCAGCGCGTGACTCGCTGAGTTTACATCAGTATAGGGAACAGGATGATGTAGGGAACGTTTTGGTAGGAAATATTTGCAGAGTTTATCGATTTTTGTGGATTTATTGCAACTTCCGCCCAAAGCCTGAAATCGTGAAGACGGCGGAGGCCATTTTCTCACAACCAATGATGCACACCAAATTTTGAAGTTAGGCAATTCAAACCATTTCTCATTGACATTGTGGCAGGTTTTGTTAGTATTTTTGTTTTTGTTTTATTGAATTATCGGAAAATCACAGTTTAGACATGATTTGACTAGGACGTTTAGACGAAAAAATGCAATGAAAAGCAGTGGAACGCTTTCACTCCCCAGCAGTTGAAAACTTTTTTGGGGGGTTTGCGCTTGGGACAAATCCTTTATTTTATATAAAATTCTCAAATTAGATTGCTTCTCAACAGGATACTGTAGCAAAAAATGATGAAATTATTATTTTCATTTTTGTTATTGTGACGTAATTTCCGCCCAAAGCTTTCTCTGGGTAAGATGGTGGAACGGAGTTCTTAATCTTGCAGCCGACGAAATAACTTTGAAAAAGTGACTAAGTTCAAAGTAAAGACAAATTAATCGCATATGTTTTAACAGTATTTGGAATAAATGGTAGATATTTTTCAATAATCTGCAGAGGAATGTAATTTCTGTTGTCTTAAACTTTACAATTTTTCCATTAAAAGGTCTACATTTTGTTTATGTGTTGGATTTCTTTAGCAACTTTTACAAAAATACAGTGAAGGTATTTAGACATTCCTTACAGAATGTAATTATTCTCTTGTTAAAAGCAAATCTAAGAAGGGTTGGAGTAACAAATTTATGTTTGTAGTGTTTCTGGATTTACGTTTAGTTACTAAATGTAGCCTTGCAGATAGTGATTATCAGAAATTGCTATACAAGTTGCCACTAGGTTGCCATATTTTTTTATCCACAAACTGCCTTTATCTATATTTCCCTAGTATTATGAATTCTTGGAAGATTTTATTTTTGCAATTGTGGCTTTTTTGGAATCATTATCTTGTAGACATTTTAAATTGTGCTTTGTATTTGCAACTTGAACTTATTGTTTCAAAGTCACACTGTCCTATCTTGCATGAAATTCCAGATTTTGGTTGAATCACATTTTTTCTGCTTTTTACCATTCACTTTCATTTTTTTTTTTCAGTTGATTTCACTCTATCCTGCATAGATTGAGAGACTAATAGTGTTGAACTATATATTCACCTGTCTTGTGCTTCAATAAGCCAAGACAAACTACAATATTCAGAACATTGAAACTCATCAGCTGAGTTGAACCTTCTATCCAAAATTGCTCTGACTCTGAGCATTGTATATTGCTCTGTGTTGAAAATCACTGCAGTTTAATCTGCAGCATATACTTTATAATTGAAGAGACTGCTCTTGCAGCAAACTGAACTATGTCCTTTCCTTGTGGAAAGGTTTTAACTCCTATTGGAGAGGATCACCCTGATGGTGATCCACAATTACTGGCTTCTGCCCTGGCCCTGGGGACGCTGCAGCACCAAAGGCCCAAAGGTCTGGCACCCCTGGGCAATGTGCAAAAACAGAGTGGTGATGCACTCATCGGTGAGGAAATTCAAGTGGGAAGGCTTCGTCCAAAGAAGAAGGACAAGCTGGCCACTGGCCCAGTGCCAAAGGAGGAGGTTGGTTCTGTAAGACCTAAGGTGAAGATACCCACTAACCTCCAAGTGAACAGCCAGCAGCCTCTCAGGACTGGGAGTGGCTTTGATGAAGGAACCAGTGATGAGGACGATCCCTTGTACTACATGGGAGAATTGAGGGGACCTCTGCAGTACCTCACGCCAAAATGGCAGAAGAAAGAGAACCCCCGTGTCCACCCTGACAGCCCCCTGGGGTCTGACATCCCTCTGGGAACCTGCATCAAGGTGCCACCGCGCTTTGCCCGCCCTGGGAAAGTGCCACCATCCCCGTGGTGGAAGGATCTGGACCTTGCAGTCTTCGTCGAAAAGCTGCTGCATGTACGTCACGTGCTGCCTGTGACGTATCGTAAACCATTCTCTGATGACATCAGCACAGGGATGTATGAACTGGTGGTGCTGGATCCCAAGTTCCAGCATCCCATCCACTTGTTCCACGGGATCACCTCGGACAAGCTGCCTAACCCGAGGAAGATCAAGCAGCGCTGCCCTGTTCCTAAGGGTGAGGTTATGACTCCGCCCACCTGGAGACAGGTGCACATGGCCAGGGCATCAGGAATAGCAGGTAAGCATGGACAATACCTATAGTACGTGGTAAATTCTTTGAGCATTTTAATTTGACACTGATTTATTTTGCACTTCTCCCTCGAAAGACTGCAACTTAAATTGTCATGTTTTTCATATATGTTGTTTTTAGGCTATTGTCGTTTATTTTTATATTACTTCCATACTTTATTTAAAATTAAAATCATTGTTTCTTTAAAGAGAATTCATATTTTAAAACTGGTGTTTTT